CTAAACTAGAACTCATTAATTGATTAACCCAAAAAATAATTTGGTCAACCAATTTTACAAAGGATTGGATCATTATTTAAACAAACTTAAAGACTGAAGTAAAGTGACACATTAGTCTTACTCCATTTGGACCATGATGGAATTCACAATTTTAGTCTTTTTTCCTTGAAATGCGGGCTTGTACTTAAATAATATGGACAACACTTGTTGAACAACTTTCTTTGTTTTTCTTGCTCTAGCCCTTGTCATAGGTCCTCCAACTTAAATACTTAACATTTTTTTTCCTCTCTTCTCTTGAAGAAGTTTTTCTCTCATTTTCTTTTTATTATCACAAACTTATTGTGGAATCAAATGTTTGAGCACAATCTTCTTGTCTTGATGCATGAAAGACACCTTGTTGGTGAACCCATTATGATTGACTCTTTTATCAAATTGTCACGGTCTTCCCAAAAGTAAGTGGTTGGTCTTTATAGGAACAATATCACAAACCACCTTATCATTGTATTTTTCAATGGAAATGTCCATTTCAACTTGCTGATTCACTTGCATCTCTCCATCCTTACTAAGCCATTGAAGTTTATAAGACCTAAGATGTGGTTTAGTAGCTAAATTTAGCTTTGACATTAATTTAGCACTAGCCACATTGGTACAACTACATCCATATATGATCACCATGCACACCTTGCCATTGATTAAACATCTAGTGTGAAAGATGTTTTCTCTTTGGCTTTCTTTCATAGGCTTCAATTGACTACCAAGTAATCGTCTAATCATAAAAAAAATATTCCTTTGGAGTCTCCTCTTCTTTAATGTCCTCACTCTCCTCTACTTCTTCAACCTTAGATTCACTTGTATATATATATATATATATATATATATATATATATATATATATATATATATATATATCTCCCTCTCTAAGAACCATGAACCTTTTGTTAGGGCACTCATAAACATAGTGTCCTAGGCCTTGACACTTGAAACACTTCACATCTCTACTTCTTTTAAAGGGTTGTTCTTGGGACTTTGAAGGAATCTTTGCAGGAATAGGTGTGGAACTACTAGAAGTAGTAGTCTCATCTTTCTTGCCTTTGTCCTTCTAACTTAAAGATACAAAGTTGGTAAAACTATTCTTGATTACTCCTCTTCTTTTGAGTTGTTGCTTGGCTTGAATTACTTTATGAAGCAAATCCTCCATCTTAACAAACCTCTGTAACTTAACAATATCATGTATATCATTATTCAAACCACCAATAAATCGGGTCATAGTTACCTCTTCATCTTTTTCAATCTTTACTTGAATCATGAGCATATCTATTTCCTTAAAATACTCCTCAACCCCCTTATTGCCTTGAGTAAGTTTTTGGAGTTTGAATTTTAAGTACCTTGAGTAACTAGCCTGCACATATTGTTTCCTCATGATCATTTTTATTTCAATCCATGTATCAACTATTGACTCCTTATTTCTATCTCTCTCTTTTTGTAGCTTGTTCCAACCAAACAAGAGCATAGTCGAAAAATTTTGTGGCTACAAGTCTCACCTTTTGGGTCTCCTCGTAATTGTTACATAAGAAAACATGCTCTATTTTCATCTCCCACTCTAAGATGCCTCCGGATCAGTTTTTCCTTTGAATAGAGAAATGTTAAGCTTGACTCCTTCAAACCTACTTGGTCTTCCTACTCCATCATTTCTTTTCCTATTTCTTCTTTAAATATGCTTCATCTTCGAGACCTTTATTCTCCAACAAATCTAATCTTTTATGGAGTTCATTGTTATGTCGTATCATTAATCCTTCCAAATGTTGTGTCAATACCCTCATTTGGATTGGAATAAGTCATGCTCCTTGATTGTAATTTTTCTCCTCTGCCATCACAACAGATAGATCAAAAGCAACAATAAAAAAAATATTGTAACCTCACTACACTCAAGTGTATCACACAATTATGAGTTTTCCTTTAATGAAAGCACTTTTACCTTTCTCCACTCAAATTCTCTTAGGTTCTTAGACAATTCAAGAGATTTTGGTCACAATAAAGAACAATCCTTCAATATGTGTGCACGGTAAGGTTAGGTAGATAAGAAAAGCTAACAAATCACAAAAGTAAAGGGGTAAAAGAAAAATTGGTTAAAAAGAAAATTAGCAATAATCCTTCAAGATCACTAATATATTACCTTATAACAAATTGTTCAAAAAGCATTAACCATTTGACCCAATTTTTTTTTATCACTTGTAACCAAATTATAAAATGTTGTAACTTTATTTTTATTTTTTTATTTTTCGCAAGGACCTTTTGTTTTGTAATGATTTAGCACAATCACAAATAATATGAATAAAATAAGGTAACCACTTGGTAAAATGAAAATGAAGGAAAGATGTTACCAATTTGACGTTCAAACCCTTAAATCAGAACTTTGAATACCAACTGATATGAACCTCATTTGCACAAGGGCTGACTTAAGATTTTTAGGGTTAGAATCTTGTAGGAAATTAGTGAGAAAGTGGATTAGAAAGTGGTGAAAAATTCAAGGTTGGGCAAAATTGAGTTTTCTGAGTTATGGGGAAGAAAGAACAAGAGGTGAATGTGAAAGGTCGAAGGAAAAAAAAATTCTTTCCTAGGAAGGTAACTCACAAAGGATGTGAAAGTCCTTTGATACAGTCAATGTGTCTTAAATCACTCAAGAGAGAATTACTCTCACCAAGATAAAAGAGTTAAACTCTAATATTTCTGAATAAAACTCAACTTGTATTCTTGATAAAAATGGTTCAACTTATATAGAAGTTTTGTCATCGAGTTATAAAGATTCTATAAAAGAAAATAAATGTTAATAATAATCCATTAATTTAGGAATTGAAAACTACTTAATAACTGATTGTAAAATAAATGCTAATAATGATCCATTAATCTAATAATTGAAAACTACTTAAAGTTCATTAATTAATTAACCAAAAACATAATTTTATTAGCCAATTTTATAAAGAATTAGACCATTATTTAAACAAACTTAAAGATGGAAGCAAAGTGACACATTATTCCTCCTCCATTTGGGCCATGTAACTCATAACTTTGGTAATTTTCTCCTTAAAATGTGAGTTTGTATTAAAAAAATATAGACATTTGTTGAAGAACTTCCTTTGTTTTCCTTATTCTAATCATTGTCATATGTCTTCCAAGTTCTTCAAGTGGATTTTATACTTGCTCATGGTCATATCCATCATATTGTATGTTAGAAATTAAATTATTAATAAACTTGTATTATACCATATGTAGAAAAATCTAATCATAATACAATATATATATATATATATATATATATATATATATATATAATCAATATAAATTATATTATATATGTATTCTTTTATTGATTGAGGAATTAATTATCAATTAAATTTAAAGCTAATTTATAATTAGGATGTAACTCTTTTATACATAGTAACTTAAGGATCATGATTTTGATTAGGGGAATGATTATTTGACAACCAGTAAGAGAACTAAAAATACAATTCATTTATTATATTAACATATTTACTTGTATAATGGTTGGATCCAACGTTGTCAAAGAAATATATTTCTTTTCGATTAATAAGGTTATTGAAAGCAAAGTGTAAGAAGAGAAGTTAACCAGAGACAAATATTAAAAAACAACTCATTTGATTATTAAGTTAAAAATAAAAATATTGTGAGAAGTTTATTTTTTCATATCCTTGAAATAATTTGATCATATACATTGCTTTTTTGGCTTCACTGTTTTGGGGTCTTGTGTTGACTACATAGGATGAATATAATAGTTCATTTGGTATAGAATGTGGACAATGCCCTTAAAATTTACGACTTCATGAAACTGTTTCCATATAATGAGAGTTATGATACATTAATCTATGTTAACATAATATTTAGTGACGTACTATTTTTTAGATTCTGATTAACAATTCCCATTTAAAGAGACCCTCTAGAAAGTGACTTTGTGCCAGTCTTTTTAGGTGACCGCGATGGAGATTTTCAGATAAGGTTAGAACAAACCAAGGAGATTGAAACTAGAATCTCATTACATGGAAACGTAAGTTAATTTTAAGTAAGTCTCTAAATTTAAAATAGTATTTTTTTCATCATTATTTAATTGGGTCCCAGGATTTTTAAAACTTATTATCATGCATGATCTCAAACTGTATATTATTCAATCATTTCAAAAAATTCCATTTTTTTTTCATTTAAAGAACTAATTAATTTTCTTATGGTTTTGATACTTGAAAAATTCCAAATATTGTAGAACCAACTAGGAAGTTCAACGTTAATTTTACGAGGGTGGGTGACCAACACAGATGAAAAGACTCAAACATCGATCTTGCAGGTTCTAAATGATGGAAGAATTCATGGAAATCGTTCTGAGAATATATCAATGAAGTGGTAGCAAATTCCTAGATTCTCCTCTGTAAACATTCGGATCAATAAACATAATAAATGCAGGAAGACAGTGATCTACTAACCTCGGGCTTCTGTCTTGTCGTGAACATTGCCTGAAGAGGGTAATTATTCTTATCCGATTAATATATGACATGCGATGATAGAATTTTTGGTCAACACAATGAAGAAGGAGGAGCTAGCTTGGGACTGTACGGAATGTTTTGTCCTTTGATTCTGTATTTTATATCATCATGTGTGTGTATGACCAAGAAATGAACATGGTTATGCGAAAACTCAACTTGGTTCAATCACTGAATATTTAGCACCAATTGAGACCATGATTCACATTGATCATGTTATACGGAAAATCAATGAATAAAAGGATGCAGATACATATAGCAGCAGTGCATGCATATAGATATACGTAACAACAGACAAAACAAGATTAATTTAGCTAGCCAGTTCTTGAATCTTGACCCAAATAACAATTATTACATTGATTATCTAAACATCCTCAAAACCTTAAACTAACCTTGTCTCAGACACAGAATATTCTGCTAATTACTTCATAGTTGAAATTACTTGATGACAATTCACTATTCTTCTCTTCCCGGGGGGCTATTTCCTCTCTCTTGGTTACCTGATCTATCTACTTCTACTTCTCTATATCTATGCAAATACCTTCTCAATGGCTCTGCATAGTCATCAAAACCAAGGGATCCTAAGGCCCAGCATATATCATCTCCGTTCACAGTCTTCCTCCTCTCCTTCCTGCACTTCTCTGATGCCTCGCTCGTCACAAAGCTTATGAACTCTGACACGCACTCTTGCATTGTTTCCTTTGATTCCTTTGAGATTTTGGCGTTAGGAGGCAGAATCTGCTTCATGATCCTCCCAACATTGGCTATTGGCAACAAACGGTCTTGTTCTCTGATGCCACTATTTTCAGCATTGGAGGAACTCCCTCCAACAACGTTATCCACCATCTCTGGAAGGAATGAATTCAACTCCAACACTTCAACTACTCTCTATATTGACCAAGAGAACATGTCAAGGATAATATATATACTTTAATTAATCTTTGATCTTTAGATTAGAAGAAACTGTGAGTAGAAAACAATATAGTTAAGTGCACATGCAAGAGAGCCTAGTCACACTCACACATGAACATTAATGTCTGACATGCGAATGAAGCCAAGGGGTCGGCTACGATTGTGGGGTCTGATGCCGCAACTGATTAATGAATTGGAGTTCAGAGTCATTTTTGGTTGCAAAGTTTAGACAAAGTCCACCCAAGGGATCCATGATTTTCATTGGCTTCATCGCTGCTAATGGATGCTGAGGAGGCTTTTGAGTCAGTTCAAAAGAGTGAAGATCAATCACCATATCCGTTGGAAACCTCTAAGGTACAACTAATTTATTCATCTCTATGGTTTTACTAAAGATAATGAATCATGATTCACCAAACATATTATTTATAACATTATTTTTTTTCCTTTATGTTCTTCACCCGTTATAGTATTACACTTTTTCTTTTTTATGGTAAAAAGAATTAATAACCTATTTGATTCCTTTATGTAGTTTCATTTGTTTTTTCTTTTATATGTCTTTATGTTTAAAAATAATTCATTATTCCTTTTACACTATGTTATTTCAATATATATTAAATAATATCCCTCCATATCAGAGCTTTAAAAAAATGCAAAATTCAAAAAAAATAAGTTTAGAAAGTTATTAAAATGTGTATACATAGAGCTATATATTTTGGATTTTTTACTAACTTGTTAATCACATAATCACTTAAGCGAATGTACTTTTAATCCAAAATTTTAAGTAAATAAATACATAGATTTCTCATTTATTTAAAATGTTTAAATAATACTCAAACGTATAAACTTTTAATTTTCATAATTTGTTTTTGTCATATATATTCACCAATTAATTATTATTCGGATTTAGGTTTAAATAGTTAACTCACTTTATTAATACAAACTGTACATCCAATCATAGTAATTATTAAACATGGTGCACTCATAGTTCAGAGTTGTGTGAAAGACATTTTATAAATAAAATACTGTCCTAAATTAGTTATAGGTAAAAGCTGTTTAAAATTTTTTTAAGATAAATAAAATAGTTTTAAATTGAGAATAAAATAAACATTATTATTAATTAGTCAATTCCAAATTCCTAGGTGACCATCGTACATTTACGAATGCGGTTTGTCTGTTATGTTCATTTAATTAACCTTAAAATAATGTGTTTATTTTTTTGCCTACCTCCACTACAATGCTCAAGACAAAAGGAACATTATGGTGAGTCAACTAATTAAAATTAATCCCATTTTAAAATGGTATCCCAATAAAGAGTAAAACAAGAAATTTGTCAAGTTTGAATTTATTCAACAAGAAGATACAAAACAAAATGGTTTATATTCTTATGGATTCACACCGAAAATTATGGTTTCTTTACCTTTTTTTTTTAGAAAATATTTGGATAATTTTTTAAACTTTCAATTTTATGAAATTTGGATAACTTTTTTTAGTCCTTTTAATATAGAGAAACAATAAGAGAAAAATACAATGAAATTCTCTATAAATTAAAATTAGCTGTGTTTAGATTAATTTGTAAATTATTTTATGTAATTTTTAGTTTTCATGGAAGTTACTTTTAGCCTATTTAATTTTTTTTTCTTTTTATCTTTTTTATCTTATATGTTTTATGTTGAAACTTTTTCAAATATACCCCTTGATTAATTTATTTTTCTGAGATGAAGACAATGGAAATTAAGAATTAAAGAAAAATGAAAATTTCAACTTAAACCAAATAAATAAAATACAATAGTTTTAATTAGAGAATAACAATGAAAGACATTGAAAGAAAAACACAGTACTTTTTTTATGACAAAATGCCCTAAAAGTTCTGGCTTTGTAACGAACAAGAATAGAGAGAGGAGAGTATAGAAGAGGGTTCTCACCCCATGGAAGTTGTGGTAGGTAGCATAAAAATATGTGTCTCATGGTTTAATCAATTACTTAATGAAAACATGTGCATGCAAATTTTTTATTACTAACTAGTTACATCAATGCACAGATAAAATGGTATCCCAAGAGAGAGTAAAACTAGTTACTTCACTGCCTCTAACATTGGTCCTTCTTGTTCACTAAAAAGCAATGACAATGGTAATGGAGCATTCCCGAAAGGAAAAAGCCAGTCCTTTACGTGCTTTGTAAGCACTCCTTTGATCCACTAAAGAGACACACATATACAGTAAAAATTTAAAGATTATCTTTTCCTTTTTTCATAATCATTTGAGACTACCCTAAGTCCCTGTTTGTTTGATAAAAGAAAGATCTATGATAAAAATATAAAATTTCCACCACATTCTGCGTCATTCTGATAGTACTGATAGATTAAGATATATTCTAGATATTTTGTATGTTTTTTTATGACTGATTTATGGACATTTTTTGGAATAACTTTTTGAATTTGTAAACTTTGTTTATTCTTTAGATTTTCATTGTGAATCAGTGTTTTCTTGTTGGACTTTGTATTTATGTTTTTATTTAGATGAGTTAACATAGAGTCAACCTTTTTTAACTCACTGGTTTGTTGATTGGTGTTGCATATTTTTATACTCAAAAAGTTATTCGAATTGAGTTTATTTACAGATGAAATGTGTTAGCTCATAACTTATGGTTAATATAATTTTATTTGAGTTTGGAACATCCACAATCTGAGGAACTGGTTCTTTTAACGTATTTGAGACTCGTTCAAAAACTTATTTAAAGAGAACTGGAAAATCATCAGTTCATAAGAAACAACGCAAAACACCAGGGTTGAAACCTTTAAGCATATGTTTCAAACTCTATCAACCTATAAATTATTATGTAATTTTGGTGAGAGACAAAATGAATAAATTGATAATGGTGAACCGTAACATGGATGAATATAAAATTCTGGGAACATAAAACAATGTTGATGACATTTTCATTTTAACTCATCCGGACAGATTTTGTAGTTAGTTTTGTCTGTTGGAATCTTGTTAGGGGCAACTTCGTTTTATGCACCGCAAGATTTTTGTGAGTGTTTGTAAGCTTAAAATTATTCTCTGTTGACTGATGTAGTAACAGTGATCAGTACTGATAAACATCTCAAAATCTGATGTCTGTTACCAGATTTTACTTTCTGCTTGAATGGAAAATTAAGATTTTTTCTGCTTTAAGTTTGATTTTTTATTCCTGAGTAAAAATTTAGATGAACTCTGATGGAGTCTCAAGACTCAAAAAAACACTTGCAAATTATCTAACAAGAAGATTTTCACATACTTATGTTTTCATGGAATGTAAACATTTTCCTTATGAATGAACGGAATTTTGTTGGAGATACCAAATTTTGTTTATCCATGCTACTGCTTTCTACAATAAATTTTCTTCTAGAGTGCTTGGTTTTGGTCGATTTAAAAGCATGCTTGAAAGAATCTGTTGGTATTTGGAAATTACACTAAAACTTAAACATTTGTCTATTTGGTTAGAAGTGTCTGATAAGTAGTCAGATCAATCTATTCACTATTGAGAATGAAATCAGATCCTACGTTTGATTTGATAAAGAGATATACACGATAATGTTAAGTATTTTGAGAGAGATTCACTGGAAAGAAACACAATAATGGATTAATGATCTCAACTCACGTAAAGATTAATATTCCTTTCAATTAAAAACTTTAAGGTATTCATTCTTATTCAATATCGGACTTAGAATCACACTTGTATTTCCTAACACATAATCATGGAGAAGAAGTGTAAGGTAGCATCGGTTAGGAATGTGTATGCCAGACAAAGATTATATACTGGCACCAAGAATATGAATTTCATAGTAGAAGAGCATATATGTTAGCTAGATTGCACAGAAAGCATTATCTAGGTTGAAACAGTCATAAATTTCCATAGTAGTTAGTCAAGGATAAACATATTCAGATATTACAGGTTGGAACAAATGTATGTCTGGAAAAAGTTCCTGAACTGAATTTAGTGAATCTTATAGAGATGGTTTGGAAGTTGTAGCATATCAAAGTTTGTGGAGAGTTCTAAGTATATTAAGTCTATTAAAGCCTCAAACATATTGTTCATTTTTTCTCTACAGGTTTTTTTCAATGAAATTGGCATGTTTGTAGCTTTGTTCTCCAGAATTCTCCTATCAAGGCTTGATTCTTCAGTTTGTATTGATACTAGATATTGTTAGTCAAATATTTTTGAATGTATAAACTGGATTTCAGATTTATGATAAACAATTTATATTGTTATTCAAGATTATTTTTAATTTTTAATAATTTATCTTAATAAAATACTGACATTTTAATTTAGAAATAAAGATGGAAAGAATGAATGGAAAGAGAGAAAAACTGAAGAAATTTTGGTAAACATGTTTCCATTGAAGAAAAATCACTAAACATTTTTGTCGAAAAATAATTTTATAGAAATACTTATTCAATATAGCAATTTTAATTTACACATAGGGGTAGCTGTCATGTGATGTTTTATTATTATATATTATAATAATATTAATGTGCAAAAAAACTTCAGTAACGAAGTTTTCTTTATGAACATTAAAATTTTTTCTTTTATATATATATATATATATATATATATATATATATATATATATATATATATATATATATATATATAAAGGGGGAGAAGGCAGAAAAAAAAATAAGCAAGTAGTTCTCCCTCTTATCCTTTTTTTTTTTATTTCAAGCAACGAGACTCTACTCATGCAGGATTTGGTGAAACGGAAGAAAACTTGAATTAAGTGAAAAAACTTTGGTAGAAATACTACACCAGGTAAGAGGAAGTTTAATTCATTCAATATATGAGATTGAATTGTTGAGTACTCTGTGAATAAGGAATAGGAGTGAAAATCGAACATTAGAATGATTGATTTTGAAGATTTCTCATGTTTTGCAAAATTTGAAATTTTGTTGGAATTCTTGAAATTAAGGATGAATTATATGGTAAAATTATTGTTTTCAACTTAAATTAGATATAAGTCATGTTTAATTTGAATTTGGGATTAGTTTGCTTGTCTAAAACCGAGTAATTTGAAATCTGCAAAATTTGATACTGTTACTAGACGCGAGAAAGAAGAAAGGGACATGGAAGGAATTTTCGAAAATATTCAAGGGTAAAATAGTCATTTTCGGGATATGGAAGGAATTTTCGAAAATGTTCAAGGGTAAAATAGTCATTTTTGAGACATGGAAGAAATTTTTGAAAATGTCCAAGGGTAAAATAGTCATTTAAAGATTAAGGGCAAAATAGTAATTTAATGATTTTGGAAATGATTTTGAAAGTATATATATATATATATATATATATATATATATATAT